GGGGRARRGTTGGAYRCAATCCTGGAGATCTTTTCCAACCTCAACAACTCCACRATTCCCTGGCTCCAACCCATCACCAGGCTTTTTCTCCAGCCYTCCTGGAGCACCCCAGGGGCGAGGGAAGGGATCCAGCCCAGGACCCACACGTAGGCAGGGGCCATCCCAGAGCCAGAGGCTGCCCAAAGCGCGGGGCGAGACGGGAAGATGAATTCACAGGGCAGGAATTTCTTGTTTTGAAGAGTCTGGAGTGGGTTTCACCCCACATCACAGGCCCAGGTATGCACAGAGCTGTTATTACAAGTTTTAGGGCCGTCCCTTAATGCAGCTTCTCCGAACCCAAAAGCCAGATTAATTCCTGCTTGCGGTTGCCCCGTAATTAAAATCGTCTCCAATTCTTCATGAACTCAACAGTTTCCTCCTAATGAAGRGAGGCAGATGAAAGAGACCTTCACTGGGAAAAAGGACTCGGTTATAAATATTCCATTACTTCATCCGCCACAAAAGCTATTTGGATGCTGGAAACTCAGCCTGGGCAGCCGGGGGCCAGCCCCCACCAGCCCCTGCAGATGCCCCCGAGTGCTGGGGGGATCCAAAAAGCCTCTCCGAGGAAAGTTCCTCCAGGAGCTCTTGCCTGTCTCCACCTCAACATTCCTCCTTTTCCTCATCCTCCCCCACCTTCTTGCASTGGGGCACAGCAACGGGCAGGGATGGCTAAGCCATGTGGATTATCCTAAAAATGGGATAATGAGCCCCATGGGACATCACATTCTGTGGGGCAGCACGGGCTGAGCCGTGGCAGCTCAGGAAACCGCTCCCCTGCCTATCTGGTCACGGAATCCAGGCTGGAAGAGCTGATTTTCCATCCAGCCCACRGCAGAGCCATCCCAGGCCTCTTCATTCCCTGATTTTGGAGCGTTAAAATATAAATAAAGTGTCCCGGGCTCTGGCAGGGATGGACACCGAGATGGATTTCCCCTGGCAGGGGCTCCAGAGAGGGAGGGACAGCGCCTGCTCTTCCTCTTCCCTCTGCCACAGAACAGCCCCTTCCATCAGATTTTCTTCTGGGAAACTCTCCCTGAGCCTTTGGGATTACAACAAAATCAGGGCTGGGTTGGAGAGAGCTGTTCCAGGACATCCCAGCTCAGGACATCCCAGCTCTCCCATCCCGCTCCAGAGCCTGTCCCAAGGCGTTCCCAAGCATTTTATGAACTATCCCAGCACCAACAATCCCAAAGCTCCCAGAGCTGCGATCCCACTGCCAGGATGACAGGATCACTCTCAAGGATGCACATGGATGTGGAGCACTGCCTTTGCTCCCCTCTCTGTGGGCAGGCTGCAGCCCACACCGGCAGCAGCTGCCCTAAATCCCTTGGGATTTGGCTGTGGGATCCCTGGACCACAAAGCAGCCCTAAGGGCCAGAATCACTATCCCGAATTCCCTGCACCACAGAAAGCACAGCCCTGAGTCTCCACACCAGGGAGCTCCCTATTTGTAAATTAAAGTCATATTTCAAATTTAATTAACAATATAATATTACAGAATTAATATTGTCACATAAATATTAATATTAATAGTATAAAATTATGAATATTTATGTTGTTTTAGATAATAACACACCCCCAAGACGCTCTGACCCTGGACAAACCCTTCCTTCTCGCTGGCAGGCACTTTTGGGGAGTCCCATTCCCAATACCCCACTCACAGTCTTACTCCACTATATGGGATTGGTGCCCAAACCCGTTCCCACTCTGGGGAATGTGCTTGGTGCACATGGAGGGGAAAAAAATAGGATGCAAAGGGCTTTGCAGACACCCAAGAGCCCAAAACCCAGCTCCATTTTATGTCAAAATACTCCAATCCACGCCCGGACTATCCAGAACTCCTGCTGCCCTCTCTGGCGTCCTCATCTCCAGCTCCAAATCCAGCAAAACGAAGCCAAACCAAGTTCCTGATTTTTTTAATCCCGGGGCGGGCAGAGGGAGATTTGTGTTCCCTCAGCAGCGCCGCTCTCCAGTTTTCCAGCTGGGAAAGCTCCTCGGCCACGCCACAGCCTCCATCAACTTCCCCGCCCCAGCCACAACGGGGGAAAGCTTTTTGGGAAAAATATCCTAAGCCCACTTTTCAGTCAAGGGGGGAAAAATAAAGCCGGAGAAAACTCAATTAAGGAGCAGGCAGATATTTTAACCAGCGCCATGGTTTGTATACTCCATCTGGAGTCCAAAGGCTGCCGGGTTTTTTTTTTAGCAGGAGGGAACTGACATCATCTTAATTTTAAATTCCCATTTATTTTTACATCTGGTCTGAATTAATCTTTCTCAGCRTCCTGACTTTCATGTAATGGAATAATTGCTTACAGACTCGGGGTTTAAAGAGCCTGAATAAACCCGGTTTAAAAAAAGAAACCCCTTTAAAAAACCGATAGTAAAAATCCAGTACCTAGAACCAAACTCCAATATGCCTTCGGGATTGGGAATTTTAAAYGGAACAACATCTCTTTCAGGCAAGAGAGCTCGAATTAATCCCAGCTCTATCCAAGATTCGGAGAGGGAGGGCGAGCCCTGTGGAAAAACACCAACACAAACCAGCCCAGAATTAGGCAGAGCAGCAAAGCTCCATCAGCGCCACGCGGAAGCATCTCTGGAAAAGCAGAGTTTGGCTTAGAGGGAAAAACATCCTGATGGCCAGGCAGGCAATGAGCAGGGAAGAGGACGAGTCAGGAACGGGAGATGGCAGCGAAGGTGGCGGGAGGCCAGGGGCATGGCAGGGTCGGGATGTGCCTCACTCCCACGGGCCCGTCAAAGGACACGGGAACACCGAGGATGCTCCTGGAAAATCTCAGCTGCAGCCTGGGAAAGCTCAGCCCCAATTTCCCCGCTGCCACGAGGGCACCGTGGYAGATAAAGCCCGGCTTAGGAGCCGCACGGATTTATCCTCGCCGCTTCCAGAACRGGGCAGGGACAGCATTCCTGATGGGAAACACGGAGATGGCCATCGGTGACACTGCCAGGGACTGAGTGTCACCGTGAGCACCTCCATGGGTGGGGGGCACCCGTGGGTGAGGGGAACCCACGGACAACGAGGTGACACAGGTGACAGTGACCCAGAAACAGGAGGGGAGGAGCACAGGTAAAGGAACCAAGAGATGATGGGAACCACAGCTGAGGGGGCCCGGGGGTCAGCACAACCCACGGAAAAAAGGCAGAGAGCACTATGGATGAGGGGACCCAGCGGGGATGTGGGACCCAGGCTGAGGGGACCCATGGGAAGAGGATATTTGGGTGAGCGTGACCCAGGGACAAGAGGCCTGCGGGTGAGTGAGACCCCGGGGTGAGGGGACCCACGGGCAAAGGGAGCYATGGATGAGTGAGTGTGACCTGGGACAAAGGGACCCGTGGGTGATGAACTAGAAATGAGGGCACCCATGGGTGATGGTGACCCACAGGTGAGAGAACCTGTGGGTGAGTGTGACCCAGAAAGCAAGAGGTCCCATGGGTGAGGGGACCTGTGGGTGAGTGTCACCCAGGGGACAGGGGTCCCAAGGCYGAGTGAGCCCCGTGGGCGAGTGAGACCCAGGGAAAAAGGGTCCCATGGGTGAGCGAGACCTGTGGGTGAGGGGGCGAGGTGACCCACGGGTGAGGGGTCCCGCCGACGAGGGGACCCGTGGGCGAGCGTGACCCAGAGGCGAGGGGCCCCGTGGGCGAGCGCGCCCCGGGAGCGCGCCCTGCAGCGGAGCGGGTCCGGCGTGGCCGTGGCCGTGTCGTGGCCGTGTCGTGGCCGTGTCGTGGCCGTGTCGCGGCCGTCGGGGGCCGTGGGGGGGTTCCGGCGGAGCCGCAGCTCCCGCGGGCGGGCGGAGGAAATGACTCGCATTCCTGCAGCCGGGGCCGCTCGCACCGCTCCGGCTCCAACTCGCCCCCGAGCGCAACAAGCGGCCGCGCCGGGCCCACCCGCGGCACAGCCCCGCGGGGCCGAGCCGAGCCGGGCCGGGCCGGGCCAAAGCGAGCCGAACCGAGCCGAACGGAGCGCAACCGGGATGAGCCGAGCCGGGATGAGCCGAGCGGGAGCGCGGAGCGGAGCGCCGGGCACGCACCTACCTGCGGCTGCGGGGAGCGCGCTGCCAGGCAGCCGTGCCAGCCGTGCCGAGCCGAGCCGTGCCGAACCCCGCCGTGCCGAGCCGAGCCGTGCCGAGCCCAGCCCAGCCCAGCCCATCCCGCCGCCCCCGCCCCTTCCCGGGCCGCCCCGCACCGCCCCGAGCGGCACCGGCACCGCCTCCCGCCCCGGCGCCGTGCCCGGGACAGCGGGGAAAGGGTCGGGAACGGGACGGGAACGGGACGGSCCGGGGCAGGGGAGCYGAGTGTTKGCCYYGGAGGAGGCGTGGGGAGTCGGGCAGCCGCTGCCACCGTGCCCACGAACGGCTCTGGAAAGAGCCTGAGCATCCCCCGGGAGGGCATCGGGCACCGTCCCTGCGGGACTGGAGCCACCCGAACGCGCCCGGGAGCGGAGCTGAGCATCCTCCCGGCAGGATCTCGGGGAGCGGAGCTGGAGAAGACCACGGAGATGCTCCGGGGGCTGGGGAACCRCTGCTCTGGAGACAGGCTGGGAGASCTGGGGGTGCTCAGCTTGGATTGACCTCAGAGCCCYTTCCAGTGCCCGAAGGGGCTCCAARRGAGCTGCAGAGGGACTTAAGGGGGAATGKCTTCCCAGTGACAGAGGGCAGGGTTAGACTGGATACGAGGGAGAAATTCTTCCCTGTGAGGGTGGGRAGGCCCTGGCACAGGGTGCCCAGAGAAGCTGTGSCTGCCCCTGGATCCCTGGCAGTGCCCAAGGCCAGGCTGGACAGGGCTTGGAGCAGCCTGGGATAGGGGAAGGTGTCCCTGCCATGAACAAGATGTTCTTTMAGATCCCTTCTGATCCAAACAACCCTGGGATTCTGTGATCTCCCAGGGAAGGGACTCCCGTGTCCTCCRTGGGGGTCCAAACACCCTCGGACAGGGGACCCCCACACCCCCCTTGCATCCTCAGCCCTGGCTGTGCCTCTGGCACATCAAACCAAGGCCGGAGCAGCATTAAACCCCATTCCCATTAAATCCCCCGCTGATGCCCTGAATCCCTCCGGAGAGATCTCTCCACCTGGAAGCTGGAGAAAGGTGAGCTGGGCTCACTCCCGTGGGGCCCGGCCACCCCTCGGAGCCGAAACACACACGGATCCCTCTCCATAGGTGACCCAGGCCGGGAATAGCAACAGCAGCAGCACCATAAATTAGCAGCAAAGCATCTCCGAGCCGCTCCTCCTTCAGAAGTGCCATCTGGCGAGATTGTTTTTGGAGTAGTTATTTATTCCTCACTTTTGAGTGTCTGCAGGCGTTTCTTRGGCTGACCCGCGAGGCCGCCTCGGCCCCCGCAGTCTCTACGAGGCTCTGGGAGAGAGGAGCCGCTTGTTCCCAGCCCTAAATAAAGAGCAGCTCTGCTGTGAACACCCTGACGCTCCTTGCTGAAATCTGTTTGCAGCTCAACAGATCGTGCTGGGTAATTACATTATGGGAGTGCACGGTACCAGCTCTGGGAATCCAACACGCCGCTCTCCTCATGGAAAAAAACAACCTGGCTTTTGGCAGGGCTGGGGCTGGAAAATCGTCGGTTTTGGGCTCGTTCTCGWGCTCCTGTCCATGCCATGTGGAATTGGGAAAGAGTTTTTACCCAACATCTCCCTCTGGAATCCTTACAAAGCTGCTGGTGCCATTGCTGAGGGCACCAGGAGCATCCTGTCCAAGCAGGGCCTGTCTTTCCAGCCAGAAATGTCTTTTTTTCCCCAAAATCTCCCTCTGGAAATACCCATTCTACACATAACAGGGGGATAACCAGGCAAAGCCGCCCTTTGGCTCTTTATCCAAACCCATAAAACATTTTAGGGTTGCGGGGTGGCACAAGCGGGACACGGTGGTGGGGGGACGGGTCGGTCCCGCTGAGCACATCCCAGCCCCATTCCAAGCCCTGTGGAATAGAGGAACACAGGAACCCAGCGCCTGCCTTGCCGCAGAGGCTAAATAAAGCAGCAGGAAGAGCTCTCGGATGCCAGCGAGGCGATGTATAAACACCGCCGCGGATGGTGCGGGTGCGAGCGCCGCTCCAGAGCCCCGCAGAAATGTCTCGGCTCATTCCGACGGGAGATGCTCCCGAGGCTGGAGGAGAAAAGGCTCCAGGAAAACCATCCCGGGCTGCACCGTGGGGARAGCTCGGAAAGATGGACCTCAGCCAGTGTCCACTCTGCCTCTCCGCTCTGGGAAAGGAAAAGCCCAAAGACTCCGGTGACATTTCTCTCACAAYTGTGGAATTAATCTCACTCCGAGTCCCAAGGAGTGGAAACGCAGATGGAAAAAAATGGAGTAAATGGAATTCTTTTGGGGTTGGTTTTGTTCTTTTTGCCTAGCTAATGGCTTTGCTAGGCCTGTCTCAAAATATTATTATTAGTGTTATTAATAATAATAATAACAATAATAATAGGTTTTATAGTTATGACTGAAAATACCATTCCCATAAAATACGCGTGTTTTTCTCGCACTGGATGTATTTATACAGAGAGGACAGGAAATAGCAGGGGCTCACTGTGATCCTGCATTATCACCAGCCGAGCGTCTCCCATCCCAGAATTTCAATGCCGGCATTGTCTCCGGCAGGGATGGATGTGGGAGCTCTCTTATCTCATAGTTTCCCTCGGATTTTGTTAATGGCATAAAAATTATTCAAAAAGCAACAAAATAACAACTAAACCCATTCCAATCTCTGCATCCCATTCCCTTCCCAAAGGCTGGGGGAATCAGTTGTGCYGACCCAGGCTCGCTGCTGTCAGTGCTCAGCATCCATTTCTAGGGATTTTTGGGATGTCCTGCTGGGAAAATTTACCCTGGAGCAGCAGCACGGGGACCTCAGCACTGCCCACGAGCCTTGTGGGGTGCATTTGGGGACAGGGCTGTCACCGCTGCTTGATGACACCTGGCACAGCCTCAGCCTCGGTGATCCTGATGGGCCCCTTCCAACTCAGAATATTCCAGGGCTCCAGCTCTGCCTGCAGCTGGAATTTAGAAATTCCTCCCTGGACGAGAGAGCAAAACAAATCCCAGCTACTGTGAGAAGGCTGTGCTGGGGCTGGGATGGTTTCTCAGCCCATAAGGGGAAGAAATTAAATAAAGAAAGCCCAGCTTGGAACCACAACAGCCAGAGCGTTGCTATAAACTCTGGAGAGGAGCTGGACCTCGCTCYCATTCCTGCATTTCACGGGGATTTCCAAGGAAGCTCTTCCTCCCCCCCTGTCCAGACTGGGGTGGACGAGTCCCTGTCCCCCCAGCATAGAAATCACCAGCATAGAGGGATCTTCTCCAGTGTTTTCTGGGCTGTTCAGGAGAATTCCAGTTGATTTTTGGCCATAAATGCCCAATTCACAGAGATATAACCGAGCCTGTGCTTTAATTTGGTTTATAATTAAAAGTCTAAGCATACATTGGGACCCCTCCTCAGGGGTTTTACCCCACAGCTGCCCCACTTTCCTGAGTGTACCCATTTGGGTACAGCACTAATTCCATCCATTTTGAATAATGAATTGTGAATTTTGGGAAAGCCGGTACCCAGCATGCAGGAGCCAGCCTTGGATGGTGCTGGGATAGAGGGAGAATCCCTGGGAGTGGCTGGGAACACCCCAGCTCAGGAGCCAGGTGGAGAGGGGGACAGCTCCTTGAGCAATACCAAACCACTCCTGGCTCCCCAGGAATTCAGGGGGTGCTCCCAGATGGGCTGTTTCCATCAGATTTTAGCGGGGGAGGGGGTGTCACTACATTTAACTGCCCCCCCCAAATCTCTCTCTGTATTTACCCTGCCCAGGCTTTGCCTGGAAAGTCAGCAAGGACGAAAATAAAAAGGAGCTGCATGAGATTTAAGCCCGACGAGGCTGAAGAGCGAGAAAATCCAGCCTGAATCCCCGAGTATTGGAACCATCAAGAAAATCCAAGCGTGCATCCGGCGGGGATGCGTCCCCCCGGCTCGGCGCTGCTGATACGGCGCATTCTGCTMATCTACCCGGCAGTAATCGCAGTTTCTCCAGCCCAACATCCCCTTGAGCAGCGAGCCGCAGCAGCCGGGAGCGATTGGAGATTCCTCGGGATGGCTGGAGGGAAAGGCGGGATCGCCCCGAACCCCCAAACCGAATCCCCCCGGTTCTCACCCAAACCGGGGAGCCGAGCCGGGATTTGTCACCAAGTTTTTGATAAATCCGGGGTGAGGTGGGCAGGGATTTTCTGTGGAGTAGGTCTGGTTTTTCCACAGCCCGCCCCCGCAGCCCGTTCCTAAATCCACTCGGCATTTCCCGCTTTAAAAAGCCCGGTTTTYCCCCCCTTCTACCCCAGCTCCACCGTCCTTTCTGTTTTCTGGCGCCCAAAAGGGTTTTTTTCGTSTCTCTGGGCCTGGGGGTTATTCCCAGAGTTTTCTCTCAGCCTTCCAGAGCTGYTGAAATCCCATGGAATTGTGGTAAAAAAAGCAGGAAAGGGCGGCGGGGAGGGGCGCACGGGGAGGAAAGATCACAGGAGCGGGGGAATATTTTTAGCCCGTCTGTTCTCCGGCTCTCCGGCTTCACCGCCACTCCGTGACTTCAATCCCATCTGACGGAGGGGCAGATGCCTCAGGGCTGCTCCCGTGCCCTGGAACGGGAGAGAAACCCCAGTAAGGGCCCCCTTTAGGGGGGGTCACCAACAGCCCCGATGCTACGAGACATGAGAGAATCCCCTCCCTCAGTGTGGTGGGGTGGGAGGAAAACTGCTCAGGGAATTTTGCTGCTGAAAAAAAAAAAACAAAATAAAAACAAAAAACAAGTGGAATTTGCGTTGGGAAAGAGTGCAAAGAGCCAGGGCACCCATCAGGGACCAGGGTGCTCCAGAGGAGGAGGTGTGGGGTGCACATCCCACCCCTGGCATCCTGCTGATCCACCTCCTTGCTCACCTATTTTCCACGCAGTAGGATTTGGCTCCTTGCAGGAGCCAGGGTGAAATCYGGGAATGGAGTCCWGAAGCTGCAGGTTTTGCTCCAAACCTGRCCCAGAGAAGCCTGGCTCCAGAATAAAGCCGGGATGAGGGGGCAGTGCCAAGCAGGTCAGGGGAGCAGGGTTGGATTTGTTCTGTCCCCGTGCAAAGTGCAG